AGGGGTCGCAAATCAAAGCAGATCTGGTCGGCGTCTGAGTATTCCCATCGCACGACCGCGCACACCACGTCAGCCAGCCCGTATATTTACCGCGGTTTTCTCAGTATACAGGCGTATTATACCTTAAAAAACGCAACGAGCTAACTAAGACTGAAATATATCTAGATTTTTTTTTTTTATTTTAGCATTTAGGTTTTAAACTGTTTTTCGACCGACTTGTCCGATTTCACCCACGCATTTCTGTGACGTTGCTCGGGTTTCTATGGTCGGTTTAGGGACGTTTACTTTATATGACACTTCTTCTTTGTTTGTCAATCGCCATATATCATTGTAGTCGTCTTATCTTGGCTGGTTGCGGAGAGCTTATGGCGTTAGGGGGTGTATAGTTTTTGCTCAACCGTCGTACGCGCTTTGGTATTACGAGCCGCCAGCAAGGTTACCGCAATCCCGCCGCGCCGCGCCCCACCCCACCGCGTCCCACCCCGCCCCACCCCACCCCGCCCGTCCAGTCCCATCCGGCGGCACCACGCGCCGCGACGCCCCGCCACCGCCAGTACGCCGGGCTTTTCCACAGCTGCCTGTTTCCCAAACTCGAGACAAAGCGGCGAAATGAAATGTATACGAGCTGCAAACTTTTCTCATTGTCAGCTGCACGCTGCCGTTCAGGGGGTCCAGGAGGCGGAGGGGGGCGGCGGGGTGCCTTCTCCTTCCTTTCGGGACGTTTGGCGCAATCGGAGAGCGTTTAGCCCAGCCAAGTCTCTGAGTTTCTCTCTCTCTCTCTCTTACTCCTTGTTTTGAGTGACGGCGGCGCCAGTCGCCTTCAATGTCACTCTTTTCTTCCCGTGCCGACTTCTTCTCCTTATTATTTTGTTTTCAGCGGTGCACGGTGCGGCGCTCGTACTCCTTTGTGCTCTTCTCTCTCTGAGTCTCTCACGCTCAGTGTCTGCTCTTCCTCTGCCTCTCTCTTCCAACTTGTCGAGCGGGGGCGGACGGGACGGCATTCACCAGAGTCTTGAGCGAGTTTGCGTCTCCCCCGCGGTCTTCACTTCACCTGTCCTGGCGCGTGTTCCTCAGCCGCAGCAAGAGCGCTGGCAATGTAGCCCTCCGTCTGTCCGACTGTCTTCCGTAGCACTGATTTCATCCAATCGAATGAGTAAAGTTATCCCCTCCCCTCCTCCTCACCTCACCCCTCTCCCCCGCCGTGGTCCCGATCAGGAGGGGCCCAAGCCCTCCTCTCTGATTGAACAATGAGGGGTCTCGTTCCTCTCTTTCGCCCCCCCCCCTCTCTCACCTCACTCCGTCTCTCTCTCTCCCTCACACTCTCCTTCCCCTCACTTCTCACTACGAGGACACCCTCAGGGGTCCTTTCATTCATAGTCGTCGTAGAGCCCCCTTAGGCTTATCCCGAGGGAGTGAGGGTGGGGTAGGTTGGCTCACCCCCTCACCAACAAGCCACGTGACGCGATTACCAACCCAATGGAAAGGGGGGGGGGGCAGAGAGAGAGAAGAGGAGAGAGGCAGCAAGAGAAAAGAGGAGGACGACGACGACGTCGTTTCAATAAAATCACATATGTGCGAGACTTATCCTCTTTGTGCGCTTCTGCTGACCACACACCCAATTCGACAAAGCTCTCTTTTTTCTCTCTTTTTTTTTTATTTTATATTTTTCGGTGGAGCTTTTCTGTCGCACACGCGGTTTTATACGACCCCTAGACGTGCGGCACTCTGAGTGACCGTAAGTGCTCCTGCGGCCATCGTGGCGGGGCGGGGCGCAGTGGGGCGGGGCGCCATCACGAGGTGACGTGACGCCAGCTAAAGGGCCCTTCAATGCAATTTACATCACTCTCGAGTGAAGGGGAGCAGGCTGCTGCTGGTTGGCTATCTTATTCGCAGGCCCTGGAAAGCTTTGGAACCGTCCTCCCTCCCCCACGTCACCCACACACATGCACATTAGCCCAGAGAAGCATGTTATTATCTGGCGTGTTTTACATTCTCATTCCGGACCGGTTAGCAGCAAAGTTCTGTGCCTGTGCAGTGCCTTGGCCTGCGCATTCATCTAGGAAGTTTGGCGTCGTCTCCCTCCTCCCCCCCCCCTCTCTCTCTTACACACACACACACACCCGCTCGAGCGCGCGTGCGCCCACACACACGCATTCGCAGGCGACCACGCTTCCTGACTTTACCCTTTCGATTCACGGTCTAGCAATCTCAATTTCTGAACTCTATTCCGACTATCCGATAATGCTCCTCGATGTTTATTAAACCGTCCGGCTATCGGTTTTGCTTGAAACTAGCAGATTCTCGCTGCATGTGCGGCTGTTCCATGAGTTGCCAATCAACAATTTACTTGTTTCTTTAAAATCGGTGGTTACATGTTCTTTTGGCCTCTTTTTATTCATCATGGTGTTGTCATGTCTAATAAAACTTCTCGATTGGTGTTCGCATGGCGCTCCGCTCCCTTTTGGCACATTGCTGAAATGGATCACCAGACTTAATTAATTGGCTCCCAGGTCGCGCGCTGCTCTGTTCCCTTATTTTTTTCCAGCATGAATGCGCCCCTCATGCGATTTTTCCTCTTCTTTTTTGAAACCGTTTTAATGAGCTCCCCCAATGTATTCGCGCCAGGCCGCCAACCTTTTCTTTATCAAGCTGCGCCGTTATTTCCGTGTGCGCTGCGGCTCATGCTTCTGAAAGTAAAACAGTCGTGAATGAAAAAGTAAACGTGTGAATAAAAGTAAACGACGCCCATGAATCGGCACAGTTTTAAGGTAACTTAAGCTTACCAACACTGTGACAAATAACTTTGTAAATTCAAAAATATAAATTTTGTCAATTTAATGTTTACAAAAATCCCAGTTGGCCTCTTACCCTCTCTGCGTGCTCTGTGGCAAACGGAAATTGTATATAGCATTGTAAATTTGCATCCAAATACGGATGCATTGAGGGTGATGGCGGGCAGTCCTCGCACTCGCGCGGAAAGTAGATTCCCCCGCAATTACGTTTCACTTTGTCGCCACTTTAGGTATGGTAATGCGTTGCCGTCCTTCCTAAACCCAATGCCGTGTCGCTTCTGATTTGCGAAGCGTGTGCGCGGCGTGCTGCCGGCGTGCGCAATGTACGACGTGTCCTTCCCTTTCACAAGGCAGCTTACCTCGTTTCTTTCCTAAAACCCTATACAAGCGGACGACTACAGCAAAAGAAGAAAAATAAAAATGAGAAGGGCACACGCAGCCTTTAGCCCTTTGGCGCTCCGTCCCGTAAGCCTCCGCGTCAGCGCCGCCTCCCCAGTAATTGCATTAGCAGAGCAGCCCCGCGGCCGTAACCTGAGCATGTTGGTCACACTGTCGACGAGATGGCAGATTTCTTGACTAGTCCAAATAATTATTTATTTTACCAAAATAAATACTTTTGTTCTTTTCTTGTGTGTGTGTTTTTTTGTTGAAAAGAAAAAAGGGGGTTCTATGGCATTTAGAGCAGCGCGGAATGCGCCCCCCAGCTAAGGGCAGCCTCAATTTATTACGAAACTTTTGCTGCTGCCGTCAACTTTTGCATCAGCACCCATGGCATTCCGTATTCTCGGGAGAGCTCTGCCCCGCCGCGGAGAAGGGCCCTCGTCAACTTGGTCACTCGTCGCCCCCTTCTTTTCTCCCGCCCCCCCCCCTCTCTAACCTCTACCCGCCTCCTTCACCTCGTCGCGGGACTTACATAAGTCTGTCTCAGAAGTGATTTTAAACTCGATGCTCGAAGGGTGCGCCGCCGCGCGATATACAGAAGAAATTTGCCATTGGCTGCGTAGCTATTTTCTGTGTCAGAAATATGTTACTATTTGTAATTTTATCTCTTTCAGTGCAGGAGGCGCGTGGGTTCTCGTTTATACTAAATGAACTTCCCCGGTCCCCCCGGTGGCCCGGCCGCGCCCGCCACAGCGCAACCTCGAGCTCAGCCCCCGACATAAGTAGCGTCTTTCAGTTCATTCCCTTAAATTTAAAGAAACCGCGCCCTGTCAGCTCCGCGCCGGAGCGTCGCGCTTTCAGGGCGAGGCTGGCCCCAGGAGGGTGGTGGGATGCCCCTCCTGGCCGGAGCGAGGGGGCTCATCAAAAAGGCATGAGTACCGGAGAGCCCTTTTACTTCTTCCTGCCCCCTCTTTTGCCTTCCTGCGCCTCCCTCGGTCAGGCAGAGCTTCACATCTCTCTCTCTCTCCCTCCCTCTGTGACTCTCGTCACCACCTCAGACTGAGAGAAAGGTATCTAGTCAGCCCTGACTTTTGACCTATCCTCTACAAACTTAATGCCGCCAAAAAGTTTGTTGTCTTGCGTCCGATGCATTCTAAAAACAATTTGAATTAGCCTTATTGCACAGGCTTATTCACTGGTAAACTAAGTGTTCAACTGCTCAACACTTCTAAGTGTGCAACTGAAGGTTAAATACTTGCAAGTGTGCAACTCGGTAGGTGTGCACTTGCAAGTGTACGACTACAGAGTTAGACACTTGCAAGTATTCAACTTGCAGTTCCACACTTCCAAGTGTTGAGCAGTTGAACACTTAGTTTATCAGTGTTTTTAACACGCAATTATGGACACACATTACGGAAATATGAACAGTTTAATTACAACAGTTATTGAACAAGTGTTCATAATTGTGTACAATAAAAATAAGCATTTTTAAAAAAGAATTTTTTTGTTAGCTGCGAAAAATAAAGTTTACAACAATTGAGTGTGTAGCTTGTAGCACTTTGGAAAGGCATATGTGCGTGTTCGTGTCTGGATTACTTGTGGTTGTCGATCTAGGAAGGTAGCAGCTGCGCTGCTAGCTACTTGTGTATCGGGTGTCAAACACATGCGGCTGACCAACTGTTCGGGTCTTTTGATTCTCTAGTGACAAGAGGCTCCAGTTACGCATCGAAAGAAAAATAAAGACCGAATAAAGACTTACGTTGTCCAATGCGATGTTGTCAATCGGATGGCATTATATTGATTTGTGTTTATTTTCTTCTGTTGCAGTACATTGGCAGCATGGACGTTCCTAGGCCGTCAAGTAGAGTGGAGATCGTCGCCGCCATGAGAAGAATCCGAGTAAGTTTCACATCATTTTTGTCGAGGGAAGGCGCATTTCGAGCATTCGTTTGTGTAACGCTGCTTGCTTGAGCAGGATAGTTCTAAAAAACAACTGTTTCAATAGGCAGGATTCTCCACAGGCATTTTCCCAGTGAGGGCGCATCCCAATGGCGCACCGTACGAAAACCGCTGGAAAGCAAAAAAGTTGAACTTAGCACCATGGATGGTACTACATGGTATTTTGGGGGGAAGCGCTAAATCTTAGCTTAAATTGCAAATCGACACTCGAGCTCTCACTGCTATTCACTGCAACAGTGAATATTCACCTCGACTCAAAGAGCTGCAGGTTTCTGTGCGCTTTTACCGGTGCACTTCAGTTTCTTATTCCTATTTTTTTTTTTACCCCCAGTTGATTACTCGTGAATCAATATAATTCGGGGGGCAGAGGGCGTCTTTCTCCTACTTTCGCGCCGTTTTAAACGACTTATTTCGCGGCCAGATCGGGTCGGAGAGACACTCGAGATTCCTGCCGCCTAATTGGAGCGGCGGGCGGTGTGCTATTGGCACGTCCCTCCCGAGTCCTGCAGGGGTCCTCAGGGGCCTTTAGCCAGGGAGATTAAAATCCGAAATGAAGTGCTTGCTGAAGAGAGAGAGAGAGAGAGGGCGAGGGGGGGTGCAGTTCCAAACGGCTTCCAGGCAAGAGGCGACAAGTGGAGATTTGGACCGGGGGGAGCAGCGGGATTGGCGGCAGGGGGCAAAAGTGGGGGTGTTGTCATGTCTAATAAAACTTCTCGATTGGTGTTCGCATGGCGCTCCGCTCCCTTTTGGCACATTGCTGAAATGGGGGGGAGGGCGTAATCACACACGGTGGCGCATTGGCTGCTGCGGGTCTTCCTCTCATCTCCCC